TGTTACTTTATAAAATATCCAAAAATTATTTTTTCTGTTATTAAGCATGTTTCTCCAGTTCTTTTCTGACGGGAACTTCACGCGATGATGCAACATATACATATTTTATATTTATCATGTTGTTCGTTTACTTGGGATGTTGCTTCTAAAATTTGTTGAACACACACACACATATTTAATTTGGTGTTTATCTCCTCTTTAACGCACAAACCGATATGTTTGATCAGTTCTTGTACAATATACGTGTATGGCCGTAAGTAATACCAATATTATTGTAGCTGAAAGACAGCCAAAAAATCTGAATCGTTTACTTTGTTATAAATATAATACTGAAAATATATAAGAAGGAATCACACATGATTGCTAATATAAGTGTTAAAAACGACGACGATAACATGATTGCTAATAGAAGTGTTCAAGATGATGATAACATGATTGCTAATAGAAGTGTTAAAAACGACGATGATATGATTGCTAATATAAGTGTTCAAGATGACGATAACATGGTTGCTAATAGAAGTGTTAAAAACGACGATGATATGTTTGCTAATAGGAGTGTTCAAGATGATGATAACATGATTGCTAATAGAAGTGTTAAAGACGACGATATCATGATTGCTAATAGAAGTGTTCAAGATGATGATAACATGATTGCTAATATAAGTGTTAAAAACGACGATGATATGATTGCTAATATAAATGTTAAAGACAACGATAACATGATTGCTAACAGAAGTGTTAAAGACAACGATAACATGATTGCTAATATTTTAGCAACAAGTGATCAAGACCAAGCTGAACATTTCACGAGAAAATGAAAAGAAAATTGTAAGAAAGAAGAAAAGTATAACAATTTGGGATAAAAACAATTTAAAACAAACAAACAATTCACGAGGAAATTATACAAAATAATATAATCCCGAAGAGTTTGAAATCGAAAAAAATTGATGTCGAACATTCTTCACGACTACGCCTTTCAACGAATATAGAAGAACAACAGGAGATTATCCTGTGTAAAATAGAAGAGTTAAAGACACGTGTCATCGAGGAAACTATAGGGAGCAATCTAAAAGTGCATATTGACAACAACAACAACATTATACCAACCCTTACTACAATTATAGTAACCATTCACAGAGAAATAGGTCCGGCGGTGAACAACGATGGATCTTCGTTCTGGATCGTTGCTCAGTCGTTGGGTGACTTGGGAAGGTTAGGTTGTCAGCGGACCTGAACAACAAAGGAAAGAGTTCTTCGTCATTAGGGATTCGGTCCATGTTTTGGACCAGGGAGGGTGAGGTTCAGCGTTGACCTCTTCCTCCCTCTCAGGAATTGTTATTTTGTTTGCACTGTTACTGAATCCTAGGCAATAACCCTCGTTACGTTGTTGCATTACTCACAGTATGTTAAATTTTGTCCTCAATTATAATTAACATACCCTTTTCGTGCCGTGTCCAATTCATGGGGTAATATTAACTCGTGTATTTTCACTAGTAGGAACTGGCCAAACACAATTAGTTCAAGAAAACGCGTCAAGTTATGACAGGAACAATCCATAGATAACAAAGAATGCGTCAGTAGCGGTAAAGCGCACAAAATTCACAACCGTGTGTTAGATATGTTAGGCTTGCGAACAAGGAAATATCTTTACTGAGAAAAGGTTTATCATATTGTCCTATCAGCAAATGTAACAAGATGTAAATGATTTTATCAGAAGAATCAGACTTAGAGTTTTATTCACGACAAGATCAAACTGAAAATGTAGATATCATTTAAAGAAGCAAATCAAATTTTACAATAAAATTAGGTATGTGTATCGAACTGAACACATTATGTAATCAAATAAAAATCTACCTTTTAATTTTATAAAATATAAACATTTAAATAATAATAATAGAGAATAGCACTTTACATAGTCTGTTTTCAAAATAATAGAGAATAGCACTTTACATAGTCTGTTTTCAAAAATAATAGAGAATAGCACTTTACATAGTCTGTTTTCAAAATAATAGAGAATAGCACTTTACATAGTCTGTTTTCAAAATAATAGAGAATAGCACTTTACATAGTCTGTTTTCAAAATAATAGAGAATAGCACTTTACATAGTCTGTTTTCAAAAAAATACAGAATAGCACTTTACACAGTCTGTTTTCAAAAATAATAGAGAATAGCACTTTACATAGTCTGCTTTCAAAATATTTAATTTTTTTAAAAAGCTGACAATGGAAATACTAAAGTGTTTATGTGAAGTAAGTTTTGTGAAACAATGGTTATGGAACGTTTAAGAGGTAATACGACTTATACGTAGCTTGAGGGCAAAATATTGTGATAATGATGTAATAGAAAAGATTAAATCTTTTACTCAAAAATATAAGGTTTATCTTAATAGATTATACAATTAATTTTACTCCATTTACAAGTGTATCTTATGTCTTATCAAGTGCCAAGAAATTATTAACGCTTGTTTTAATTATAGTAATATTATGTATAGTTTACAGACCTTCTTGTTGTCCTAGTAGACTTATTGCTGCAGGACGTCAAAGTCTCGTACACCGTATTAGTTCTCATTATTAAGTCACGTGAGGGATGATTTAGATTTTATATCAAAATTATCTAGTGAAATTAGTCATAACTGCAGTGTAACATTACACTAGATGTAGTATTATTATCTACTAATATTGACCATGGACTTGGACTAGCGGCAGTTAATTATTTATATACTAATATTGACTATGGACTAGCGGCAGTTAATATTTTGTATACTAATACTGACCGTGGAATAGCGGCAGTTAATTATTTATATACTAATATTGACCATGGAATAGCGGCAGTTAATTATTTGTATACTAATATTGACCATGGAATAGCGGCAGTTAATTATTTATATACTAATATTGACCATGGAATAGCGGCAGTTAATTATTTATATACTAATATTGACCATGGACTAGCGG